CACACACAACTCGTCAGAAGGACACAGTCAAGCATACTGCACGACTAATAGTAACTAGTGACTGCCAACATGTACACATGTACATGTACAACATGTACTTCCTGGAACACGCTATCTCAGACACTGAGCACTCATCTGCGTGGGGAAACCTGAGGCACAGAGCTGGAGATGGCTCCTCATTCTTAGTCTGAGAAAGATGTGCATTGCCTGAGTAGGGCCTGGAGACCTTTAGAAAGAAGTCTAAGTGGATGACGCAGCCCAGGAGAACTGCCAGGCACTGCCACACTGCCTCCTCCATTGCCACTGACTGGAAGAAAGAAATGCCCAAATGTAAACGACCATTCACATAAGGACTTGTCCAGCACACAGAGACTAGACAGGAACCAACAAGACTCAACTTCTTAACACAAAAACAGAAAACCTAGCCTCTTTGGAGTACTGGATTCCTTTTATTTGGCATACAATAGAGCCTTGTAAGCTACAAGTGATCTTTATTCTGTTATAGCTAGATGTAGGTAGAATATGTAATATTAGGCTGTCAGTGCCAAGGAAAACTGCCAGGGGCAAGCCAAAGTCAAGTACTGCTCTCCAAAAAGTTCCCATCGCTAATGTTATTTGACATTTGTTAGAACCACAATTTTATGCAAATGGATAAACACAATAAGAAAAACAGCTGTCAAATGTCTCCATGTGCTGTTGAGACACACGGATTCTCCAAGAGTTCAGAGTTTTGATTTTCCTGTCAGTTGAGGTATAAAGAGAAAGTCATAATCAGATATTTTAAACTGATGTCCCTGGAACACCAAATCTGAGAAGACTACTCATTTCTTAACACGATAAAATATTTGTTGCATATGGGACACATCTGAAAAGCAGCAATATTTGGTATATAAATTTGATCCACTGCATTAAAAATACTCTAAGTAGTAGTTCACGCTAGCAATGATCACTAACCAAATCAACTACTATCAGTTAATTCACTGGTTGAATATTTCATTTGATCAAAAGAAAGACAAACTTTAAAATTCCTATCAAATGCCTTGAGTACTTCTAGCACAAAAGGTTACAATCATTTCCCCTCATTCTTTTTTTGTAGATTTTTTAATGCAGTTTATTAGCTGCAATAAGATTCCTATTTTCTTTGACAAGTATTTCTTGCTTTGAAGTGACAAAATTGGAAAAACACATCTCGGACTCTTTCTTGGAATATATAAATATATCTATAACATAAATGTCTTAAAATGCATGAAAAAAATAACTTTTCTCAAAAGAAAAAATGAGCCCTCAAGTCCTTTGAAATCAGAGACAAACTTACAACCATAGACTCTAGAGCTAATGTTGAATCTAGAGCCATGGAAGTCATTTTGTTTCTTCTTTAATTAATGACAGGTATTTTTTCACAGACTATCAGATATTGGGTAGGGAAGCATGTAATTCTTTTTGATTAAAAAAAAAAAACAAACAAACAGAAAACAAAACAAAAACCCTGAACAGAAGAATAAACTAGGCTCTGTGGTGAAAAGGATGAAAAGAGATTATATGGGTTAAAAAATGAAGAAGAAAACTTTGGGGCAGGTATTTGGCAAAGCAATTAAGGCTTGGGATGCTCACATCTCACACTGGAGTGCCTGAATTCCAGTCCTGGCTCTGCTTCCAATTCCAGCTTCCTGCAAATGAACACCCTGGAAGGCAGCAGCTGGCGGTTCAAGTACTTGGGTCCCTGTGACCCACGTAGGAGGCTCAGATTGGGTTCTGGGCTCCTGGCTTTGGCCTGACCCCTAACTCCAGCTGCTATAACCATTTGGCTAGTAAATGAGCTGATGGAATGAATATTTGTCTCTCTCTCAAATCAAATGAGGGAAAAAAAAAGCCATAAAGTTTGTGGAAATGGAATTAAAAGATACTTTTTTTTTGGTGCAGAAAAATTTTTAAATCCATGCATATATGAGAGGTCTTCAAAAAGTTCACGAAAAAGGTATTCATGAAAAAAACTGCATGGATTTAGAGAAATTGCTGCACCACAACAAACTTATCTTTTTATTTCATTTCCTACAAGCTACTCTGATAGAACCAGGCTGGCTTGTGATTTTTTTCTAACTCTCCCATATTAATCTAAAATTAAAGTTAATGGACCAGATAAACCAAGAACAGAAAGAAATGTTCATACATATATAAGAAACTTTCTGATGCTGAAGGCAGTACCAGTCAATTTAGCCCAGTATGAGAACACACAGCATATTTTTAGGATGTTTGCTTTAGCAAAGGCAACAGCAATTCAACTGCCAAAATAATTAAATCCCCACATCTTGGCATTTATCAAAAGTCTCTCATGAGAATACAATTTTCTGATGCCTCAGTCTTGTTTTGCAAGTTAAATTTCTAGAAAAAGGAATCTTAACATGAAGGCAGAAAGTCTCACTACTGCTTGGGTTCGGAACATAGCTGATTGCTTACTGAAAGGCACTGCAAGCTTGCAACAGTGTTACATTCTTTCGCTTAAAACAGTGACAGGACATGCTGCATTAACGTGAGCATCTTTAATGTACTTCTTATTCTAGCCGGCGCCGTGGCTCAATAGGCTAATCCTCCACCTTGCGGCGCCGGCACACCGGGTTCGAGTCCCGGTTGGGGCGCCGGATTCTGTCCCGGTTGCCCCTCTTCCAGGCCAGCTCTCTGCTATGGCCAGGGAGTGCAGTGGAGGATGGCCCAGGTGCTTGGGCCCTGCACCCCATGGGAGACCAGGAAAAGCACCTGGCTCCTGGCTCCTGCCAGGATCAGCGCGGTGCGCCGGCTGCAGCGGCGGCCATTGGAGGGTGAACCAACGGCAAAAAGGAAGACCTTTCTCTCTCTGTCTCTCTCTCTCACTGTCCACTCTGCCTGTCAAAGAAAAGAGAAAGAAAAAAAAAATGTACTTCTTATTCTAGAGATGGACAACTGTAGCAGTACTATCAACGCCGACATATCACATGTAAGTGGACACAGTAAAAGAGAACATACGTAGCAGACACACATATACTCTGTGAAAGCATGAAAGCAAAGTGAAGAAAAACAGTACATTGGCTCAAATAATATTTCCCCTAAGAGCACTTTCCTGGAATTGTACAACCGAGAAAAGTTCATTACTTAATACTCTAAAAAGAACAGCACAAAAACCTCAACCTCAGATGTCTAGACAATTTGGCCTGGAATCTCATCCAAAGGTACATTGAAAATCTCAAACATGGTTCCTAATTAAAACATTTTTTTTTTAGTAATAAAAAACAGAAGTTTCATTTCTCCCTAGTGTCAAAAGCTAAATTTGTCAAAGTCAAGCAAAAAGAAATTTAAGTTTGGGGCAAATGCTTGGAGTAATGAGTAAGACACTGTTTGGGGGGTTGCTGTTGTCCTAAGCCACCACCTGTGACACCAGCATCCCATATCAGCACCAGTTTGAGTCCTGGCTGCTTCACTTCCAATCCAGCTCCCTGTTTTTTTTTTTTTTTTTTTTTTTTTAAGATTTATTTATTTATTTGAAAGTCAGATTTACACAAGAGAGGAGAGGCAGAGAGAGAGAGAGACAGAGACAGAGAGGTCTTCCATCCACTGGTTCACTCCCCAATTGGCCGCAATGGCAGGAGCTGCGCTGATCCGAAGCCAGGAGCCAAGGGCTTCTTCTGGGTCTCCATGCATGTGCAGGGACCCAAGGACTTGGGCCATCTTCTACTGCTTTCCCAGGCCATAGCAGAGAGCTGGATTGGAAGTGGAGCAGTTGTCTCAAACCGGCGCCCATATGGGATCCCAGCGTTTCAGACCTGGGCATTAACTCGCTGCACCACAGCGCCAGCCTCCCAGCTCCCTGTTATAATACTCCTGGGAAAGCATCAAAGATGACCCAAGTGTTTGGGCCCCTGCCACCCACCTGGGAAACCTGGATGGAGTTCCAGACTCCTGGCATCAACTTGGCCCAACCCAAGCCGCTGTGGCCATTTGCGGAGCAAACCAGCAGATAGAAGACTCTCTCACCCTTCCTCTCCCCCCTCTAACTCTGCCTTTCAAATAAATAAAACAATAAAGACCCAGATTCAGTTAGGGATCCTGGCTCTGGCCTGGCCCAGCCAAGGCTGTTGTGGGTAGGTGAGAGAAGGGACTCAGCAGATGGGAGATCTCTCTCTCTCTCTGACTTCCAAATCAGTAAATTAAATAAACTAAAAAGAGGTAAAATTTAGTTTAAGAAAAAGGAAAGTCAAAGAAAAACAAATATTTGGAGTGGAGGAAAGTATAATATCCAATATCCAATTTGTTAAGAATAAAATTGACTTAAAAAATTCCAGTAGTACTTAAATCTTTAAAATCCTACATGATTACTCTAAAATAATGAAATATTGTCATTCTTTTATGTAACTGCTAACATTCTTAAGATGATAAAGCTGAAAAATTAAATGAAAAACACCACATTGGAAAGAGGTTGTCACCTGCCCTCTGAGCACCAGCATTTTCCTGAGTTCTACTGTGTGAACGACAAAACCACACACCACGTCTGCCACACAGACAAAAGCAATTACTTCACCAAACAACACAATCCTGAAATGTGAAGTAACAAAACGAGGATCTACACACAAACACAATCTTAAAGGTACTGGCAGAAAAATTCTTAGTCTTAAAAAAAAACAATTCCTTTCAGTAATCTTCAAAGAACATGAGAAAGATGAAGCTTTTGGAACCCGGCTTTGGGAATTCACTTTGCTGTGGTTATAAACAAACAAAAGGAGGGAGATGTATAAAAACACAATTCAGGTTAAAGACAGACATCTTGTTGGGGCCACTCACCCAGCCCTAATTTATAGATGTCAAATTTCTGTTTTACATTTTAAGGGAGAAAAATGCAATTTAGATTGTATAATGTTCATCTACAACTGTGAAGACTTTCACAAAGGTTGACAGACCAGCTTAATGAATTTTTCTGCCTGACATTAAAAGATTAAAGGGTAGGACAGACGTGCAGTCATACACAGAATAGTTACCTTCAGCTGATTATTGAAAATATCAATCTCCTGCAGTTTTGATCTCGTTTCTTTTTCCACTTCATCTAGTTGGTCTCGAAGCTGTTGCCGAGCTAGTTCTTTTGCTTCTAGGGCTCTTTTGAGTGTAAGAAGTGAATCTCCTGATTTAGAAAAACATGGCAAAACAAGAAAAACCGCCAGTGAGGAAAATGCTTTTCAATGTTTTCATGTCACATAAGGAAATTCTTGTCTGTGAAAAAGGAAAAGGTCAACCTTGAAAATGAAACACCTACTGTGCAGACTGTTTTGTTGAACTTGCTTTAGTTGGTCATTGAGTATCTGTTTCTCGGGAATAAGTCTTCCAAGCATCTGCTGAGACTCCTAGGTGAGAAGGAAGCAAACCAGGATGAGCGGAGGGAAACTACCAGGCCTGCGTTCACCTCGCAGAGTTCAGATCTCTCAGACGCTAATCGCATCCCACGGCCTGGCCCACGGTGCAACTGCATTTCATCCCAGACCACCGTGCCTCTGGATTCCTTGCCAAGAAATGAATTCTGTTTACAAAATGCTTTCCACTAAAATAAAGTTGAGACAGTTATAGCTCCCTTGATATTGCTTATATTTTTGTTGACCTACTGGACAGTTAAAGGCTGTCAAAAAAAATACACTTTAAGTAGGACTCAGCAGACAGAAAACTGAAGAACTGATCTCTCAATTGCACCTGGATGCAAATGCAGTGACCCTGTTTGTAAACTAATACAGCAGTTCAAATAGGAACTATACTTTTATTCTAATCTGAGCTTTGAAACTTAATAGGGCTGAACTGTTTACCCTATACTTAAAGCTGGAAACAGCAATCAAAGAGATTTCAACAACTAGAATCTTAGCTTCTGTATGTTTTTTCAACACACAGGATGGAATTTTAAACAGGTATACTAAAGTCTTAAACCAACTATTTTTTAACTGGCACACGATAAAAGCTAAACCACCCTTTACAAGGCCGTTCGGAGTTTTCGTGGGTAACTTTCCAAACAGAATATGCTTTAATTCAGCTGAAATTACCCTGCATGGCTTCCACATGTTTGGGTCAGGAAATTTGACTTTTATTTTTACCTTGATGTAAAATAATCTCTACGTATTGACTTTGGTTTGAAAAACTGAAAATGCCTTAATTAGAAATCTTCAACAGAGACGAAGCGGCACTCTTTTTGAACAACCACCTTTACAGACTGGCCTAAATGGGATGAATCTTGTGTGCTATATTCATATATCTGAGTGGTAAACAGACTTAAGTTCAACAGAAAGTATTTAGAGGGCCAGGAGTTTGGCTCAGCATTTAAGATGCCACCTGCGACACCCATATCACACACTGGAGTGCTGGTTCAAGTCCCAGATCCTTTACTACTGTTGATGGACACCCTGGGAGGCAGCAGGTGATGGCTGCTCCGTGGGTTCATGCCACACACGTGGGAGACTCAGATTAAGTTTTGGGCTCCCTGCTTTAGACTAGCCCAGTCCTCGCTCTTGCAACCATTTGGGGGAGTAGATGTGAAAATTCCTCTCTGGCTCACTTGCTCCCTTTCTAATAAAGTGAAAATAAATTTAAAAAAATTTTTTTAAAAGAAAGGATTTAGAAGCATCTTCTCTTATGAATAATTTATGCCAAAAAGAGAAAACTATTGTTTTCCCAAAAAAGCAGAACTGAGTTTTTCCTTCTCTTATTCTCCACATAAATTAAACAATCCTGATCCCAAAGTTTATTTCTAAGACTAAATATCAAGAAGCCTGGCTCAGATCACTGAGACTGTTTTAAGTATATAAACCAAGTACTTTTCTTCCTTCAAACTATGTATCATTTTTCACTTACTCCTTTTTCAGGATTCCTGGTTTTATTTATTTTATTATCACTAACTGGATATTCTAAGCATCAATCTTAAATACTAAAAATGTATTAGTTCATACCTTTACAAATACTGAGATAATAAACAAACACATGCCCTTTCCCATTAAGGTTTCACGGGGAATATATCTTATGAAATTTCTCATCAATAGTTAATGAAAGGCCAGAGTTGTGGTACAGCCACTTAGGTCACTGCTGTGATAATAGCACCACACGTTTGGAGCACTGGTTTGGGTCCCTGCTGCTCTGCTCTGGATCCAGCACCTTACTGATGCACCTGGGAAAGCAGCAGAGAATGGTCCAAATAATTACTTCCCTGTAACCCATGTGGGAAACCCAGATTGGAGTTCCTGGCTCCTGGCTTCAGCAAGGCCAACCCTAGCTATTTTGGGCACCATGGGAGTGGACAGACTGGTGGAGGATGGATGGATTGATTGCGCTCTCTCTCTCTCTCTGTCCCCTTTTCTCTGTCATTCTGCCTTTCAAAGAAATAAAAATGGATGAGTAAAGGGGCTGGCATTGTGGCATAGAAGGTTAAGCTGCCAACTATGATGCCAGCAAACCATATGGGTGCCGTTTCACGTCCTGGTAGCTCCACTTCCAATCCAGTTCTCTGCTAATGCACCTAGAAAAGCAGCGGAAGATGGGCCAAGTGCTCGGGTCCCTGCTCCCAGCATGAAATCGAGATGGAACTCCAGGTTCCTAGATTCAGCCTGACCTAGTCCTGGCCATTGTGGCCATTTTGGGAGTGAGCAAGTGGATGTAAGATCTTTCTCTGTCTTTTCCTCTCTCCATAACTCTGCCTTTCAAAGAAATAAATAATAATTTTTTAAAAATATTTGCTGGGGCCGGCGCCGTATTCTAGTCCCGGTTGCTCCTCTTCCAGTCCAGCTCTCTGCTGTGGCCCAGGAGGGCAGTGGAGGATGGCCCAAGTGCTTGGGCCCTGCACCCGCATGGGAGACCAGGAGGAAGCACCTGGCTCCTGCCATCTGGGGAATGAGCCAACGGAAGGAAGACTTTTCTCTCTGTCTCTCTCTCTCACTGCTGTAACTCTTCCTGTCAAATAAAAAAAAATATTTGCTGTGCTGATCTGAAGCTAGGAGCCAAGAGCTTCTTCAGGGTCTCTCATGTTGGTGCAGGGACCCAAGTACCTGGGCCATCCTCTGTTGCTTTCCCAGGTGCATTAGAAGGGAGCTGGATTGGAAGTGGAGCAGCTGAGACTCAAACCGGTTGCCATACGGGATGCTGGCAGCACAGCCAGAGGCTTAACCCACCACACCACGGTGCTGGCCCCCAAAATAAATCTTTTAAAAAATTAATGAAAAGAGAAGCTGGTATTGTGGTGTAGTAGGTAAAGCTGCAGCCTGTGACGCTAGCATTCCACATGGGCACCAGTTCATGCCCCGATTGCTCTATTTCTCCTGCTAAGGGCCTGGGAAAAGCAGTAGCAGCTGACCCCAGTACTTGGGCCCCTGCTACCCATGGGGGAGACCCGGATGAAGATTCTGGCTCCAATGTGACTCAGCAGTAGCCTTTGAGGGCATTTGGAGAGTGAACCAATAGATGGAAACTCTCTCCTTGTCTCTCTCTCCGTAACTCTGCCTTTCAAATAAATACATAAATCTTAAAAAAAAAAGACAAAGTTAATGAAAAGACACAGAGTATCTATACATATACTTCAAAAAGTACAGGCATGTTTTATTTTAAAATGAACTTCTGATACTGTTTACTACATTTATTCATAGCCTAAACTCTCATAGTGATGAGGAATTTCTCAGAAATAAAAACTGATAGAACTTAAAGGAAAATGGACAAATCCACAGTGATTAATATAGCAATAGTCTTCTCTCACAGTAGCTGTTAAATCACAAAATCAGTAAGAACAAAGAAGACTGAAGCAACATCAGGATTCAACCTGACCCAACTGTCCTCATGGGTCACTCATCCAAATGTGACAGAGTACACACTGTCTTCAAATGCAAATGGAATACTCACCCAAACAGCTCACTGGCTGGGCCCTAGGTGTTAGTAGATTTAAGAGGATCAAAACAGACTGAAGTCACACAGAATATGCTCTCAAATAATGACATAAGCAAATCAGAAGCCAATGATATACTTGGGAAAAAAAACACCAAATATTTGGAAGCAAAACAGGATAATTCTAAATAACCCATCAGTAAAACAAGAACTGTGAACATCAAAAATATTTTGAGTTAAAAAAGACTAAAAGTACAACATATTTTTGTGGAATATCACTAGATTTATAGCTTAAAATGTGTATCTCAGAAATGAAGGTCAAATTTGGTTACTTAAGCTTCCTCCTTATAAAGTTAAAAACAAGGAAATTAAACTCAAAGTAAGTAAATGAAAATAATAAATAGCATAAGTAAATGGAATAGAAAACAGATGCATCACAGAGGAAAATCAATAAAGCCAAGAGCTTGCTGGATTCTTTTAAGTCAATAAACTTCGATCTGGCTAGATTGATCACCAAAGGAGGGGAGAGCAAGAGGAGGAAGAAGATTCATGTTAACAGATGGTATTGTGGTGTATCAGGTTACTGCCACCTGCGATGCTGGCATCCTACATGGGTGCCGGCTGGAGTCCCAGCTGCCGCTCTTCAGATCCAGCTCCCTACTAAGGCACCCAGAAAAGCAGCGGAAGGTGGCCCAAGTCCCTGGGTCTCTGCAGGGAAACCTGGATGAAGTTCCTGGCTAATAGCTTCGGCCTGGCCCTTGCAGTCATTTAAGGAGTGAACCAGTGGACAGATCTGTCTCTCTATGCAAATCTGCCTTTCAAATAAAATCAATAAATCTTAAAATTGGGATGGGGAGGGTGCTGTGGCACAGTAGACTAACCCTCTGCCTGCAGCGCCAGCATCCTATATGGCACTGGTTCCAAGTCCTAGCCACTCTGTTTCAGACTGAGCTCCCTGCTGAAGCTCCTAGGAAGGCAGTGGATGACCGCCCAAGTACCTAAGCCCTGTCACCCATGTGGGAGACCAGAATGGAGTTCCTGGCTCCTGGCTTCAGTCTGGTCCAGCCCTGGCTGCTGCAGGTATTTGGGGAGTGAACCAGCAGAGGAAGATATCTTTTCCTCTATCACTCTGCCTTTCAAGTATATAAATAAATGAATAAATAAATAAATCTTAAAATAAGAGAAAAATAGAAAAAGATGCCCAACACTATTATTCTTCTGGAAAATGCAAAATAAGGCCACAAATAAATACCACTACACATCCACCAGAAACGTTAGAATTTTAAATACTGATAACACAGAAGCATGCCTTTAGCATAGCAATGAGGATGCCCACATTTCATACTGGAGAACTTGGATTCAACCCCTGACTCTGATTCCCGATGCCAGCATCCTGACTCAGGGAGGTAGTTGTGATGGTCCAAGTAACTGGGTTCCATGCGGGAGCCCTGGGTGTGACCCCTGCTCCTGGCTTTGCCCCCGCCCAGCCCTGACGACTGATGGCATATGGGAGGGGACTCAGTGGATGGGAGCTCTGTTCCTGCTTCTCAAATAAAATGTTCACAAAACAAAATATGACAACACAGAGTGTTGGTAAGAATGAGGAATCAATTGCTTCAGTTACATGGTGCTGGTTAAAGATACAAACACAATGGAAATAGTGTGAGTTTGTTGCAGGACTAAACATACACTTACTTACATGACACAGTAACTTTTCTAAAATCTTACCCAAGAAAAACAAAACAAATTTCCATAGAAACATTGGCATATAAATACTCACTGCAGTCTTATGAAAGAACCTGAATGTTAGGCAACAGGTGAATGGACAAATAAGGAAGCACTACTTATTGAAGAAAGGAAACATTCAGTTGACAATATGCAAATCCTAAAAATGTCACTCTGAGAAAAAGAAGGCTGACATAAAAAAGTCACACACAAAGACCAAATATGATAATACTTACATGAATGGGATACTCCTGCAGCTCAGTGCTTCATACCCAGTCAGGTGATACTTCCACTTTGGACAGGCAGTAAAACGGAAGCAGGTAGCGAGGGGGCGCTGAGCCTAATGGGTAGGAGGCCCACTTCCCACACTGGTGTACACGAGTTAGTTTCCTCTCTAGCTACTGATTAGCTTCCTACCAACACAGATTCTGGCAGTCAGCAGCAAGGCTCCCGGCACCCACGTGGAAGACCTGGATTGAATTCCTGGCTCCTGTCCCCCAGGACAGCCCAGGCCCATTTCAGGCATTTGGGGGAGTGAACCCTCTCTTTGTTTTGCCTCCTAAATAAATTTTAAAAAACTAAATTAAAAAAATTAAGACAGACCTGCTAACAGTCCTTCACTTTTTCTCCAAAATATTCTCTGTACCTAAATCTCTCACAGCCCCCTCTAAACCACATATGCTGATTTACTGTGACCATGCTGTAGATCTGTCCCAGCAGCTCCATCCAGAGCGGGCTCATGGCTGTATCTGGCAGGACTCTGGTCCCACTGCTGCGGCCTGCGGCTTCTTCTGTCAGACCTCCATGTTGCTTGGCCCCTCGCTGCTTTCAAGTCTCTGCTCCAGCATCCCTCACAGAAAGGCCTGTCGCCACGACCTTGGTTAAAGCAGCTCCTTCTTATCCAAGGACTTCCGGTCCCCTCCCCTACTCACTTTCCATGGCACTTCTGACCTTCTAAGAGTACCCGTGGGTGAGTGCCTGGCCCTCCTGCACACATGGAGACGGGATGCCCCTCTGTGCTGTTCACTGTGGTAGCCTCAGCGCTCACAAGGGCACAGGCACACACAGCATGTGCGTATGGCACACGTGTATGGCACACGTCTGTCACGTTTGTTTGCTTGACAACCCACTTTCCAGGCAGCGGCTATGCCTATGTCATCTTAGCCTCCCAGAGCCTATTACATGGAAGATGCTTCATGTCTGCTGAATGAATAAGTGAAAAGAACTGGGGAAAAGCGTGGACGCCTAAAGCTTTTACAGGAAGTATTTTCCCACCTGTAACTGCTGCTGGAGGTGAGTGATCTCAGCGATTCTCAACTCTCGGGATTTGTTTGTGCTCTCAATTTCTTGCCTTTGGGTGGTCAAACGACATCTAATATCTTGAAGTTTTCCTTCCAGTTGATGCTTTTTATCATTCTTTAACAAATGAAAGATGACAGGAATTATTACCATTTTAAAGGTTCAATGTTAATAAATTTCCAAAGCATTACCGAAGTCACTCACTAGAGCTTCTAATTCAAATTCCAAGGTCTTTTTCTTCGCTTTCAGTACAACTATGTCCTCTTGTTCTTTGTTTCTTTGATTGAGAAGTTCTTGTCTCCGATTCCGTTCCCATTCAAGTTGCCGTTGCCTTTCAAGTTCCCGTTTTGCAGCCTGTGACATTCATAAGCCATTTGTTAACTGCCGTTCTGACAATAAACAACGTCCTTAACCACAGTAGTGACCAGTAGGGCTTTCCACTTAGCGACGAAGCATGACCAAAAAATCATATTGCAAAATAACAAAAAAAATTACAAAAATGCTGTGTTCCTTCGAGGGGAAGAAAGGGATTATTCAGGACCGTATCCATTACACGAGAACTGTCGGGATTATTTCACCCCTGGAATTCTATTCTTTATGCCTTAAACAATGCCCGAAGTGCTAAACAAAAGTATTCTTTCTTACTGACTTACAAAAAAGGAAGGAAAATTTCTTTATCTAGAGAAAGCAAATTAAAACCGCAAGAACAAAAACTTGGCTTTCTTTCACCAAGAGCAATCACGATATACAGTTTGAGTATCCCTTATCTGCAGTACTTCATACTGCAAGTGTTTCAGATTTCAGAGTGTTTTAGAGTTTGGAGTATCTGCTGACGTTACCAGCTGAGAATTCCTAATTCTAAAATGTAAAACCCAAGCATTTTGAGCAGTTTTGGACTCCAGAGCACTTCATGTTTTTGGATCTCTGGATTAAGGAACACTCAACCTGGATTTCAAATTCTCTTAAGTCTCTGATTCAGACCTCTGTACCTTCCGTTAATTTCTCTGGAACCACTGAGTTTGTCTCGGCGCTGATGACTGCTCGACAGAGCACCCGGCACCCTTATTGTACTCACCTCTAGCTTTCTCGTCTTCCAACTACATTGTAACACCGTGGACCACAAGTAGAGTTTCTGGTCCCCACTGTGTCTCCACGTTTATTTTTACGAATAAACACTCTAAAATGTTATTTCTTGTATTTTTTTTTTTTTTTTTACATTGAAGAATGGAAGGCTGTCTATCTTAGCTGGTCACTTGGGAAATTAAAATCGTACTATTATCTGTGTGTAAATTCCTGAACCAAAGGCAACTTACGGTTTTCTATATCAATCAACAGGTCATGAAAACAAAGTAGTGTTTTGTTTTTGTTTTTTTTAAATAAACAAAAATCGGGGCCAGCGCTGTGGCATAGTAGGTAAAGCTGCCACCTGCAGTGCCGGCATCCCATTTGGTTCGAGATCTGGCTGCTCCACTTCCGAATCAGCTCTCTGCTGTGGCCTGGGAAAGCAGCAGAGGACAGCCCAGGTCCTTAGGCCCCTGCACCCACATGGGAGACCCAGAAGAAGTTCCTAGCTCCTGATCAATGCAGCTACAGCCATTGCAGTCAACTGGGGAGTGAACCAGCCGATGGAAGACCTCTCTCTCTGCCTCTCCTTCTCTCTCTGTGTAACTCTTTCAAATAAATAAATAAATCTTAAAAACGGAAGGAAGGAGGCAGAGAGGGAGGGAGGGAGGGAGGGAGGAAGGACCCTCATCTTCATAGTTCCTTCACATGAGAGAACCATGACACTGATTCTGTAACAAAACACTTAAACTGGAAAGGCAAACAACAAACTGGCTTGGTCCCTATCCAGGTGTGGCATCAAATTCATGAAGCTTCTTATAGAATATAGTGAGGATTCCCCAGAAATATTTTTTAGTGTTCAAGAAAAGGTTGGGGCAGGTTTTGTGGTGGAACAGGTCAAACTGCTACTTGGGACATCCACATCCCTTATCACAGTGCCCAGAACTGAGTCCTGCCTCTGTTTCTTTTTTTTTTATTTATTTGAAAGGCAGAGTTAGGCAGTGAGAGAGAGAGAGACAGAGACAGAGAGAAAGGTCTTCCTTCCGTTGGTTCACACCCCAAATGGCTGCTACGGCCGGCGCACTGTGCTGATCCGAAGCCAGGAGCCAGGTGCTTCCTCCTGGTCTCCCATGCGGGTGCAGGGCCCAAGCACTTGGGCCATCCTCCACTGCACTCCCTGGCCACAGCAGAGAGCTGGCCTGGAAGAGGGGCAACCGGGACAGAATCCGGTGCCCCGGCCGGGATAGAACCCGGTGTGCCGGCGCCGCTAGGCAGAGGATTAGCCTAGTGAGCCGCGGCGCCGGCCCTGCCTCTGCTTCTGACCCTGCTTCTGCTATTGCTTCTGGGAGGCAGCAGATCATGGCCCAAGTACTTGGGTTTCTGCCATCCACACGAGAGGCCCAAATGGAGTTCTTGGCTCCTGGCTCCAAGCTGGCCCAGCCCCATCGATTGCAGTCATCTGGAGAGAAAGCAAGCAGATAGAAGATTTCTATCTCCCTCTGTTACCCCCTCCCTCCCTCCTTCTCTGTCACTCTGCCTTTCAAATAAATAAATAAAACTTTATATTTGGTATAACATCATAGGAGTTTAAAAAATTACTCAACCCCTAATCTTTATATGTTTACATACACGTACAAATACAGAGAATAGAATATGGGAAAACACTTACCTGGTGCTAGAGACTATCATCAAAAATTTATACAGAAATGTTCATAACTGGGGTAGGCATTACGACAAAGTGTGTTAAGCTACTGCTCGCCAACACCTGCACCCTATATCAAAGTTCTGGTTCAAGTTCTGGGTGCTCCTGATTCCAGCTTGCCTACTAATGCACCTGGGAAGGCAGGAGATGAAGGCCCAGGTACTTCAGTCCCTGCCCCCAACATGGGAGACCTGGATGGAGTTCCCAGCTCCAGCCATTGAGGGTATTTGGGGGGTAAACCAGCAGACAGAAGATCTCTCTCTCTCTTGTCTCCCTCTCTGCCACTCTATATTGCAAATACATAAAACAAACTTCTTATTAAAAATGTTGTAACAGTATTATTTACAGCAGCCAAATATCTGATGAACAGATAAATGAAATGTGGTTTATCTGGACAATGAAATATTACTCAGTCATAAAAAGATATAAGATGCTGATCCCTGCTACAATGAGGATGAATGCTGAAAACGTTATGCTAGGTGCAAGCCATTCACCACATGTAAGAAAATGTCCAGGACAGGAATTCTATAGTCAGGGAAAGTGAATTAGTGTCTGCCAGGGCCTGGGGGAGAAAGGAAGAGGGTGTGAGTTTTTGCTGAGCAAAAGGTTTCTTTTTGCAGTAATGAAAACGTTCTGGAGGCCAGCACTGTGGCACAGCAGGTAAAAGTCCTGGCCTGAAGCATCAGCATCCCACATGGGCGCCGGTTCGAGTCTCGGCTGCTCCTCTTCCGATCCAGCTCTCTGCTGTGGCCTGGGAAAGTAGTGGAAGATGGCCCAGGTCCTTGGGCCCTGCAGCCACATGGGAGACCCAGAAGAAGCTCCTGGCTCCTGGCTTCAGATCGGCGCAGCTCTGGCCATTGCAGCCAACTGCGGAGTGAACAGTGGATGGAAGACCTCTCTCTCTCTACCTCTCTCTGTAACTCTGTCTTTCCAAATAAATAAAATAAATCATTAAAACAATGTTCTGGAATTAGATAGTGGTGGTGGCTGCACAAGTTTGTGAATACACTAAAAACACTGACTGTAATAAGAAAAGGGAAGACAATCTTAGTACATCCCTGGAAGAATTCTGCCGGAGAGACAGGCGCTCCCGCACCATCCGTGGGGCTGCCCCTCGCTGCTTACCTCTCGCCGCTCTATTTCTTTCCTCCTCTCCTCCTCTCTCTGCCGCTCCAGCTCCCGTTGCTTTTCCAGCTGCTTCTCCAGCTCCAGTTGTCTTTTGCGTTCTTGCTCCTGGCGTTCCCGCTCTTTCCTCTCCTGCTCCGCTCGCTCCAGCTGGGCCAAGCGCTCTTGCTCCTTGCGCTGCTGCTCCAACAGAGCCTGTCTTCGTTTCTCCAACTCCAGGTTGCCACGTTCGAAATTCTCCCGCTTCTTATCTTCAAATGTGACTGTACAACAAGAAACAGATCCATGAAGAAGGCATGATTTCCAGCATACGATTTTCAGAGAAAAGCTCACTGACGTATTTGTAGTGTGCGGGAAGAATCAACTCCCTGGCTTCCTTCTAGTCTCGGTCGGGACGCCGGATTCTTTCCCGGTTGCCCCTCTTCCAGGCCAGCTCTCTGCTGTGGCCCGGGAGTGCAGTGGAGGATGGCCCAAGTGCTTGGGCCCTGCACCCCATGGGAGACCAGGAGAAGCACCTGGCTCCTGCCTTCGGATCAGTGCGGTGCGCTGGCCATTGGAGGGTGAACCAACGGCAAAAAAGGAAGACCTTTCTCTGTCTCTCTCTCTCATTGTCCACTCTGCCTGTCAAAAAAAAAAAAAAAAAAAAAAAAGCTTTGTCAAAGAAGTCAGACATCAGTGGTCCTGTAACATATGATTCTATTATATGAAATATCCATGGAACAGAGACCAGACAGGGTCTCTGGCAGGGGCTGGAGGGCAGTAAGAATGGGAGTGATGAAAATGGTATGGAACGAGACAGTGATAATGAGTGCACAACACGGTGAGTGTGCTAAACACCTCCTTTATAGATGAATGCTCCATCCCCCCACATCCACTGTGCAGCCCTTCCAGCCCCAACGCACTGGTATTGTCTCAGGATGACATCAGTGGCCTTATAATAGGAGAAAGAGATCTCCCTTGTTCTCTTTGCAAGCAACCATTAAGGAAAAGCCAGGGAAGAAGTCAGAGAGAAGGCAAGAAGAGGAGCTCACAGGAATCCAACAGCCTAGCATCTTGATTTTGGACTTCTAGTTTCCAAAACTGTAATAAATTTCCATGGCTGAAGCCACCCAAAGTATGGCATCCTGCTGTAGCCCATACTGATGGGCAGCCACTGAACTGAACACTTTAAAATGATAGGTTTTGGGGGATGGTGCTGTGGCGTAGCAGGTAAAGCTGCTGCCTGCAGTGCCGGCATCCCATACGGCTGCAGGTTAGAGTCCCAACTGCTCTACTTCTGATCCAGCTCTTTGCTATGGCCTGGGAAAGCAACTGAAGATAGCCCAAGTGCTTGGGTCCCTGCACCTGCATGGGGGACCTGGAAGAAGCTCCTGGCTCCTGGCTTCTGATCAGCTCAGCTGTGGCCACTGCAACTATTTGGGGAGTGAACCAGCAGATGGAAGAACTCATTCTCTCTCTCTCTCTGCCTCTGTAACACCGCCTTTAAAATAAATAATTTTTTTTAAAAAAGATTGGTTTTGGGGCCCATGTTGTGGTGTAGAAGGTACAGCTGCTGCCTACATGCCAGCATCACGTATCAGAGCCAGTTTGTTTAAACAACAAGAGTCGCTGTGCACCAACTTCCTACGCAAGACCTCTGTCCTCAAGGAGTTGTATTATAATTGTGTTTAAGTGCTTGCAAAAGACTTAGCATTCTTGGGTGTTTCTCTAAAGTTAACTAAGTTTCTAAAAAAAAAAAAAAGAAGAAGAAGAGAAGAAGAAGAAGAAGTGAAATTAACTTCAAGATGCAATGACTTTGAATAGGTCGTCTCAACTGATGAGGAACATTCTTTTTTGTTATTGTTATTTTTTTTCCATGTAAATTGTGGAACTCTTTACTTAGTATAGGCTTGGTCTCCTGTGTATAAAGTCAATTAAAAATGGATCTTAGAGGAAAATGGAAGACGGATGAGGAGGAGGGGTGGGAGAATGGGTGGGAGGGCGGGTAAGGTGGGAAAGGTGGGAAGAATCACTAGATTCCTAACGCTGTGCTTATGAAATTCATGAAATTTGTATTCCTTAAATAAAAGGTTTCTTTGGGAGGGAAAATAAATAAAAAGTAAATAAATTTATTAAAAAAAAAAAAAAAGAGCCAGTTGGTATCCTGGCTACTCCACTTCCCATCCAGTTCCTTGCTAATAACTTGGGAAAAGCAACGCAAAATGACCCAAGTGTTTGGGTCCCTGCCACCAATATGGGAAACCCAAATGAAGCTCTTGGCTCCTGGCTCTGGCGTGGCCCAGCCCTGGCCATCTAGGGAAGAAACACAGAGGCCATCCATTCACTGGTCTACTCCCCAAGTAACCGGGGCTAGGCCAGTCCAAAGCCAGGAGCCAGGAGCCAGGAGCTTTCTCTGAGTCTCCTTTGTGGGTGCAGGGCCCAAGGAGATGGGCTATCTTCCACTGCCTTCCCAGGCACATCAGCAGGGAGCTGGATTGGAAGTGGAGCAGCTGGGTCTTAAACAGGCACCCGTGTAGCATGCTGGCATCACAAGAGGCACCTTCACCTGCTACACCTCAGAGCCAACCCCTTTATCCAATTTTAAACTTCAATATCTGGCACTGTTCATAATATACAGAAGGCAAATGATAAAGGGCTGTTCAAAAATTAATGCACAAACAAAATATTCTGACAATGTTGCTTCCTGATAAAATTTTAAATAAATGTCTACTATGAACAAAGAAAGAAAATCCGAAATTTTAAAAAGATTCCTGCCGACATTGACCACTCAGACTTCACCCCCATTGTTGTCAAAACCTGAAGCGTTCCTCACTTCCACCTGCAGTGCCCATGGGCATCAAGTCTCCACTCAGCTGTGGCCAACTCCACGGAGATTTCATTGCTTGTGTCTCTCCCGGTCTATGCCAACAAGATCTGCTGTACATCTGTAAAACTCTCCAGGAATTTACTGCACACACACACACTGCTTTATTGACTATTTGTATAGATGTTTTAAACCCTCTAGCACATTAGGTTTTGGGTATTATTTTTATTTATTTATTTATTTATTGACAGGCTGAGTTAGACAGTCAGAGAGAGACAGAAAGGTTTTCCTTCCGTTGGTTCACCCCCCAAATGGCCGCTACGGCTGGCGCATTGTGCCGATCCGAAGCCAGGAGCCAGGTGCTTCTTCCTGGTCTCCCATGCGGGTGCAGAGCCCAAGGACCTGGGCCATCCTCCACTGCACTCCCGGGCCACAGCAGAGAGCTGGACTGGAAGAGGAGTAACTGGGACAGAATCCGGCGCCCCAACTGGGACTAGAACCCGGAGTGCTGGCGCCACAGGCGGAGGATTAGCCTAGTGACCTGCGGTGCCGGCCATGGTTTTGGGTATTATTAACATGTACACTCTTGGCCATACTTAACACACAGTCTCACAGACAGATCACCTATAGTAAACATTTCATCTCTGAACAAAGAGTAATTTAGCTGAGAGAACATAATGGGAGAGCTAGTGTCCTGAGCAGACCAATTAACTGCTGAGCACTTTAAACAGCAGAATGATACTGACAAGGTAATTAATGTAAGGGAAATCCACAGTACGTCTCATGCGCTGATTAAAATCATCATTGTATCATTAATAATTCATAGCCACTTTAGACTATTTTGACAGTATGATGGATTTATCACTGCAAATAAGAATTATTTAATAGGTTCACATTAAATTTAAAATAGGTTCCTACTATTAAGGAATTTCCAATTCTTAACAATTCATTAACAACCCGAGAAACAAAAGTAGGTGATTTTATTTTCTATTTCTACACTTATAGTATTAAGCAACCACCTTAACTCATCAATTATTAGTGGCCTATACTCTACAGATAACACTTATAATGTTCTTATTCCTTTACAAGGATCCCAATCCAAAAGTGTATTAGAAGTGTCTCTTTCTGGGACTGGCATTGTGGCACAGCAAGTTAAGCTGCTACTTGCAATACTGCCATCCCATACTGCAATGCTGACTGGAGTCCCAGCTGCTCAGGGAGCTGGATTCTGATCCAGGTTCCTGCTAATGTGCCTGGAGGAGCAACAGATGATGGCCCAAGAACTTGGGACCGGGTCACCCATGTGGGAGACCTGGATGGAGATCTAGACTCCTGGCTCTAGCCTGACTCAGCCCTGGCCACTTGAGCCGCTTAGTAAGTGAACCAGTGGAAGGAAGATCAGAAGACAGTTTTCTCTCTCTCCCTCTGTCACTCTGCCTTTAAAGTATAAATAAAGAAATTTCTTTTTAAAAAAGTATCTCAGGGCTGGCGTTGTGGCACAGTGGGTAAAGCCAATGTCTGTGATGCGGGCATCCCATATGGGCTCCAGTTCATGTCCCGGCTATTCCATTTCAGACCTGGCTCCCTGCTAATGGCCGGCGAAAAGCAGTGGAGGAGGGCCCAAGTGTTTGGGCTCCTGCTACCCATGTGGGAGATCCAGAAGAAACTCCTGGCTCCTGGTTTTGGCCTGGCTCAGCTGCAGCCATTGCAGCCACTTGAGGAGTGAACCACAGATGGAAGATCTCTTCTCTTTGTCTCTCCCTCTCTGTAACTCTTTCAAATAAATAAATAAAAAATAGAAATAAAAAAAGCTCTTTTAGACCAAGGTCAATTAAAGGAAGATGGGGAAAATGTCAAAAGCTTAATTTATTTTTACCTCTATCTTCGCCTTAGAAACAGAAAAATCTCTAAAACGTATAATACACATATAAAAGTAACATGTGTAAATCACATATAAAAAACTAACTTACCAGGTAATTTCTTTTCCAATTGTTGCTGTTCGTCTTCTAACACTGGTTCCTCTGGTAACCTCTGGTCTACAGAGGCTGAGCTTATGACAGATATACCGCTGCCAGACCGAACTCTCCTGCAAATGTGAGAAAAAAAGATAAAAGAAACAGACTCACATACAGCTACCTAGGTACAAAAAGATTTAAAATAGTATACCATATCTTAGAGCAAACGTTATAAATGGTGAGGAACAAAAACTAAAAGAGCTGGTCTTCTCTATTATGCAGTTTCTTAAATATTTCAACATCATCAGATTCTGAGTGCCACAAATATTCAAAATATCCAGACAAAGGAACTGTGGGCACAGTTTCCTCATCTCTCTTCTGAACAACTCACGATTCTGTCTTCATTTCAGGAGGATTTTTGTCCCAGCCTTTCCTGAAAGTCTCAGGATAGAACTTATCCTTGTTTTTTCTCTTGCTGCTCTTTGTGCTTACAAGACTTCATATTCACCTTTTACATTTCAAGCCAGGGGACAGAGCTGCCCAGGATGGTGCATGCACACACAAACAGGGAGGGGTGCCAGTCTGGCAGGTGTCTCCTGACTGAACTTCAGAAACTCTCTTAATATCTCTACCGAGATTGTGTTTCAGATCAGGACAATTTTCTTTAATTGTCTTCCTGATTACAATTCTTACATCACCAGCATGTATTTTTTTTTAAATTGTTACTTGTTTGAAAGAGTGACTAAGTGAAAAGGAGGCAAAGTGGGGAGGAGAGGTATCTTCCAACTGCTTCCATCATTCCCCAGATGTCTGCAACAGCCAGGTCCAGGTCAGGCCAAAGCCATCTAGGCCATTCCACATTGATGGCAGAGACCCAAGCACTAGGACCACCATCCACTACATTCCCAGGCACGTCGGCAGGGAGCTGGATCAAAAGCAGAGAAGCTGGGACCAACATTTTTATTACCTCTTGAACATGCATAATTCATAGGAGATATTTCCTCGCTTCATTTTCTAGGTAGGTGTTCATATAGTTTCTCTTTCATTACTAGCATCTATTCCTGAAATATCTGGTGAATTTTAATCACATGAGTTTGTACAAAAGCCAACAGTCTTCTGGTGTTTTATTTGGCTGTTTTACTAGTACTACAAGTACTTGCAGAACAGAATCGGCCCAGGATTAACATAGAATCTAGACAGAAAATTCTCTTGAATTCATGGATACCTCATGTAGTTGCCAGGAATGAAAAGCACCGCAAGACACACGGTCAGCAAAGCCAGATTTGCAGTTCACACACGCAGCACATAATCGCTTGCGAGAGCCAAGTGCTCCTTACCTAAAGGAAGGTGGAATGTATTCCGGAGGCAGGACAGGTGGCAGCGGTTGGCCAGACATAGCTACATCTATTAGGTGCATAGCCAGGATAAATTCTTCTGCTGTGAGTTTTCCATCTTGATCAATGTCAGAAAGATTCCTAGTCAACAGAAGGTTCATTGTAATCCGATTTCATGAAAATGTATGCTATGGGTTATTCATTCTTATTTTCATCCTAGGCCAACTGAGTCTCTCTGGGCTAATTTGTATAAATAGTACCTAATTTATATCGTTACGGTAAAATGATGGCCTATATGGTTGGGATAGCGCTTGGCTTTGACAAAAATGCTAACTATGATTATAGTGATACCCCTTTCAATCCTTGTAAGCTCACTTAAAGTATATCACAATGATACAATAACTGATTTGGCTTAAAATACTTGTGAAGGACGAGAAGAGAACCAGGACTGACTATGAGTTGGAAACTGTTGATCTATGTTAGCATTTCTTGAGAATTCGCTCTATTAATCTTTCTGCTTTTGGATTTCTCAAAATCAGTAAGGTTGAAAAGAGAGGTCATCATCACAACTCACTGAAAACCAAGCATATTCCAGATACTCCCCCATAAGTAGCGGTCTTAATCTAATAGCTCATGAAGCTGCACCAATCTAAGAATTAGATTCCACTTTATACAAACCAAGGAGCTTTTCATTCCTCACCAGATTGAAGCCAACTGAGCCTGTGGTAAACTTGATTGCATGAGAATAGTTCTTGCTTGTGGACCTAAACAGAAATTAAGAAAAAGATACATAGATTAATCAGCAACTGCTCACTATAGAGCAAGACCAGGTTCTGCACATATACACTATGCAATCCCGTCCAATGCCCAGCACTTTAAACAAGTATTTTCTATTACCCTAGGGGAGTTTTAAAAAGGCAATTGAGTACCAAAGTAAAAGGAAAGAAACACAGCACTGGGCAACATGTGACACACAACTAAATTTTTGTTCAATGGATGTCTAAATAAAGAATCAGTGTGTAAAAAACACAGGCATTTTAAAACATAACCTGCCCTTTGACCGTCTCTGTTTGTATTGGGCTTTTGTCTGCAAAGCTGAGGCTTATGTGTTCTTAAGGGAACATCTTCTGCCACAGCCACCACCCAATGCCTCCACAAGACCACCATCAGAGAAATTCAGAAGGAACAGAGAACCTGAGAGAAGGAAAGAACCTCACAGGGATCATTTCTGACTGTACAGATTTTGAGGAGGATGGAGGGCGGGGGGGGGGGGGGGGGGTGAAGTGCTGAAGGTTGCGCAAGTGGCAACCATCACAGCCAGGAATGGAGGACTGGAACACATTTGCCACGTGGGCCAAAGCATAAAATAATTCCTGGAATTTCAACTCGTCTTTCAAAATCAGGTCTCATTTCTCAAAACCATTACAAATATCTTCCTTCCTGGCATGAAACCAACCTAAGATTTCAGATAAAAGCTGCAACACGAGATTCTGAGTGTTTCAATAAATCAGTGTCAGGGAGAAAGACAAATACTTCTCTCCAGCACTGCCTCTCCAGGTGTGGTCTCGGGAAGATCCAGGAACCAGGGAAAGGAAGGCTGTAGTTGTAGTGGGAAGATTCCCACGTGTAAAAATGTTGGCTTTTAGTTTGTTTGGTTTCAAAATACACAAAAGTGGATGCATTTTTGCACTGCAAACAGAAGTTGCAAGTTGTTTTTTTTTTTTTTTTTTTAGAATCACTGCAAGGTTCCAGTACCTTTATGTCCCAGAGAATGAAGAAAAAACAATGAACGAATGATGCCGGGGACCTTGGGCTCTGGCCCTTGCTTAGTCGGAACTCTGCTGAGTGACGTGGGAGAGGCAGTCTCACCACTAGCTTGGCCCTTCCTTTTCTCGTTTCAGAAGTCCTTCCCAGATGAACAAATCGATGACACATCAAGGGAACCGTAACACTGAGCTCAGCTATAAAATGTGCTCAGTACACGAAAGTTTGTATTACTGATATATTTTAACTTTTACTTACATATAATAAAACACTGGCCCCCAAAAAGAACATCTGAAACATATGCATGTAAACACAAGTGTGGACACACGTTCACGGCTGCAAATGCTCAAACAGTACCGGGTCATGAACCGGAACAATCAGTCCCCTGGAAGCCTCTCTCTGCATCCTTGTAGTATCAGCTCCCACCAAGGAGCGCCTAATTTTTAGCCACACAGTATAAGGGCGAGGAGGGGACGCTTCAATAAGTTCACACAAAACGGAATTTGAGAGATGTTTATTTTGGTGGAAAAAATTTTGAAATCCATGCATACCTTTCTCATAATACACATTTTTTATGAACTTCTTAAAGATCCCTGCTATTCATGGATTTCAAAGCTTTTTTGTGCCAAAACAAACTTTTCTTTCTGTTCTGTTTTAGAGTCCTGTATGTCTTCTATTATGTCTGGCTTATTTTGCTGAATGTATTATTGTGTTGTAGAACATTAGCACTGCCTGCTATATAGTGCATCTTTGTGTGATTGGGTCACAATTTATTATCCAGCCTACCAGTGATGGGCCCGAGGCGGTTTTTCAGTTTGGAACTATTATGAACAGTGAATATTCTAAGTTTTGGTAAACATATGAGTATGTTCCTGATGGGTATGTGTGTGTGTGCTGTGAACATCTTTATAGAAGTAATTCAGGGGGCCAACACCGTGGCTTAGAAGGTTAAGCCTCTGCCTGCAGTGCCAGCATCCAATATGGGCACCAGTTCAAGGCCTGGCTGCTCCACTTCTATTCAGATCCCTGCTGATGTGCCTGGGAAAGCAGCAGAAGACGGCCTGAGGGCTTGGGTCCCTGACACCAATGTGAGAGACCTAGAGGTTCTCCTGGCTGGTCTTGGCCATTGCGGCCCTTTGGAGAGTGAACCAGCAGATGGAAGATCTCTCTCTGTCGCTCCTTCTTTTTTGTATCTCTGCCTTTCAAATAAATAAATAAATCTTTAAAAAACACTTAATTCCAGGATTCTACAGGTTCTGTGGTATGCTGGAATGAGGGAATTTCCTGGTTATTTACATTAGTCTGTAACACTGTAGACAGAATGCTGAGAACATTAAAGTAGAATTAGCAAAACTTCAATAAATGCTTCAATTTATATTTCCAGCAATTTTCCCCACTCCAGAACTAAAATTTCTTTTATATATGAAAGTTAACATCAAAAAGGTTAACAATAAATGTGGAGAAGTAGCTCTATACCTCAATATCAGGAGACCTGGGCATACTACTGACGCCCTAATGACATGTGGCATTAACAAAATGACTTTGACTCACTAAAATGAAGTTCCTTTATCTTTGAAATAAAGGAAATAATCTAGAATGGTGATTGACAAACTTTGGCCTGCAAGCCACACCTGGCCTGCTGTCTGCTTTCGCAAACAGTTTTACTGAGATGTAGCCACGCCCATTTCATTTCAGCAGGCTCTCTGGCTGCCTCTGTGCTACCAGGGTCAAGTTGAGTAGTTGCAATGGAGAACTTGCAGCCTCTGAACCTAAAATAGTTACAGACTTGTTAACAGTCTGCTGAAGCCTGCACTGGACCATTATAATGGTCTCTCCCAAATCACAAAACTGACTCGATATCCTAAAACAACAATGTGAAATCTTTCAAAAAATCAGCACCTTAGCAAACGGAATGGCATCGAATTGAGCATTAAGTGCACAAAACTCTCACGCAGAAACCTATACACATAAAGGGATACCAGGTAGCGTACTAGCTTATACGGAAATAGTGATAAACAAATTTCCATTTCAAACTCCAGTATGGGTACATATGCTTGGGTACAAAAATATGAAAGGAAAGAGACAATTACATGGAATTAATGCTTTATTTCAAACAATGACCATGGCTTTCTGATTATTAGATGAATAACCAAATAGCATATTCATTGTTTCAGAATAAAACAAAATAAAACTGCTTGTTAAGAAGAGGGGCTAGTGTTACTAAGATTATAAAGGTTCCCATACAACCTTACTTAAACAATGGGCCCTCTCTGTTTGTGTTAAGAGCATGCAATCACACACACCAAGTTATGGTGGAAGTGGGTGCCCACCTAACCAGGTTACATCAGTAATCACTGTGGTAAACAGCGCCCCACTAGACTAGCTTCACTTCCCAGCAAGAACTATCTCGCATCCTAAGACCAAACAGTCTCATTTTCTTTTGCTGGGACCACACAGTGACATGCTTACACTCTTTCAGGTGTAGTCAAAATCTGATGGCATTAACAGAAAGTACATGGAACTAAAACACAATGATAATCAGGAATCTCTTTAAGTACTGAGAGTACATTAACAATGGCAAGTGCTACAAGCTAAAGCACAGGCCAGGTAGGCTGAAGGTCACGAGCAATTCCTGCAGCGCTAACGGTAATCCCATCCCACTCAAAAACGCAAGAGAATGCAAAGACAACCTAGAGTCTAACTTATGTTAAAACAAAGTATCTGTAACTCCTGTACTAAAACTGGTATTCCTAACACTAGCACTGTAACACAAATCCACAGTTGAGAAATATTGTACCAGATTAAGAAATACAACCATGTGTGTTGTAAAAATCCCTTTTATTTCCTTTAAAACAAGACTCCACATAAAACAAAACCAAGAAGGAAGAACAGCGATTAAGAATAATTGAATCATCAGTTTCACTTGGGCCTCTTTACAACCTGGGTCGTTTTCTCCACGTTATTGATGTAGCTTTCATCCTTCGGAGCTTATATAATTACTTTCACAGTTTGATCAAGATTTTGACCTTTATATTTCAACCATCTCAATAGATCAGCTCTGTTTCCATCAATAGTCTAGTTTAGCCTACAGCACATTCTATGTTGATTCCTCATAAGTACAGAAAAAGAAAACCAATTCAATTTATTGATTCCCATTTTTTAATTTGCTGTAGTAAATTATTCTACTTGACATGACTATACAAAGGTCTGGTTTGAAAATAAAACTTGTACCTTAGATTTCTGCTAGAACAAAGGAGTAATAGGTCTGCAAAAAACAAGAGCAAATTCTGCTTTGTCTCCAGTATATTTCAAATTTTACTTTCTGCCTGAGATATTTAAGAGTTCTAAATGTTCAAGTGCTTGTTGGTTCATTATCTTTGAAATGTAATACTGCATTTCATTCACAAAATGCATATCCTACCAAAATGTCCTACATCAATGTTGTACTATTTTAATTTGTACTATTTTATTTGTACTATTTTAATTCACTCACCGCGTATACCAACAATGTTTTGAAGAGATACCTTTTGTAGTTTTGGTTTTGGACAGAGCACTGGTATTAAACTATGTAGGACAGGTGCTTTAAATACACCACTGAATAGTCTTTCACTGCCTCTAGAAGCTGGATGGGCCATACACCCGCTATATGAAAGTGACAGCCACGGCTTTGGCAGGAAGTGAATGTGACATATAGAGAATTTGTGTCTATTTATTATTTGCTCCCTGCAGATACAATTATGTGCTTATTTGAGATGACTGCTGAGATCTTTTATGGGAACAAGAGGAGATCAGAATCCTTTAAAGTCTCATCCAACCTGGACATTTTAAAACACGGGTGCATTTTTCTTTTGGAAGTAAAAACTGCAAACAGTCCCCTACCCCCAAAGGTAGTAAGAATCACTACTTAAAAGCGTTTTATGCTGTATACAAGGGGACTTCAAATGTTTATAGAAAATGCAATTAAAAGACAAGTTTGGACACTGGCATATGCAAAGCAGGTTAGAATGCTGCTTGTGACATCATCATCTTTTATGAGAGCACCACTTCACGTCCTGGCTGCTCCACTTCCAAACCAGTTCCCTGCCAAGGCAGCTGGGAAAGTAGTGCAAGACGCCCCAAGTGCTTGGGGCCCTGCCTCCTACGTGGGAGACCTAGATGGAATTCCAGACTCCTGATTTCGGCCTGGCCAGCCCTGGCAGTTGTGGTCATTTGGCAAGTGAACCAATGGGTGAAAGATCACTCTTTGTCACTCTTCCAAAAAATCAAATAAATATTCTTTTAACAAAGAAAGAAAAAAAGAAGAAAAGTTTATGTTTGCATTTTCCATGTACTTTTACATGCCCTTCCTTATACAACTGCTTATCCAACATATTCCCAGGAAAATTAGCTGTTTCTCCTTTCCTTTCATATTAGAGGGTAGTCACAGGTTTTTTTTCTCAGAATTTATATTTATATTAGAGATCTCTAATTTCCTTTATTAAAGTCATGCTTTTCTTTGCAACACTTGAATTAATTAATTTTAATTACTAAAACCTTCATGGGAAACATTTTGGATGGTATCATAAAATTCTTCCATTCTGATATAAATAACAAAATCACTTTATTTTTTAAAAATGCATTGTGAGGGGCCAATGCTGTGGTGTAGAAAATTAAGCCAACACCTATGGTACCAACATCCCATATGGACACCAGTTTGAGTCCCAGCTGCTCTGTTTTCAATCCAGCTCCCTGCTAATGTTCCGGGGAAAGCAGAGACCCAGAAGATCCTGGCTTTGGATCAGTCCAGCTCTGGCCATTGTGGCCATTTGGGAAGTGAACCAACGATGGAAGATAGTTCTCTCTCTCTCTCTCCCTCTCTGTATCTCTGCCTTTCAAATAAATAAATCTTTAAAAAAAAAAAAAAAAGTGCATTGTGATCATATAAGCAAACTCGGGACTATTACAGAGGAAAAAAGAAGATGTAAAGAGGTGATCCACACAAACATTGGCAGAGTCACGTTTCAAAGTCTGCAACTGATTATCATTCATCTTGCACACTGTCTCCAAGCCCTCCCCCCCCCCCCCGTGAGTATACAACTTCAAACCCATCTACAAAAGTGGTTTTCAGAACCTGATGCTAGTTTTTATTCTCAACAATGTTTCTTTTCTAGTGCCTTAAATTGTATAATGGCCTTCAGCAAGCGGGAGGACACCTAGTCTACCTTCCATTACCAACATGCAATGATGCAGGGCTGGCATCGTGGCTCACTAGGTTAATCCTCTGCCTGCAGCGCCGGCATCCCATGTGGATGTCAGTTCTAGTCCCAGCTGCTCCTCTTCCAGTCTAGTTCTCTGCTGTGGCTCGGGAGGGCAGTGGAGGATGGCCCAAATGCTTGGGCCCCTGCACCCGCATGGGAGACCCGGAAGAAGCTCCTGGCTTCGGATCGGTGAAGTTCCGGCCATTGTGGCCATTTGGGGAGTGAATCAATGGAAGAAAGACCTTTCTCTCTGTCTCTCTCTCACTGTTTGTAACTCTACCTGTCAATAAACAAATAAAACTCAAAAAAAAAAAAAAAAAAGGAAGCAATGAAGCAAAGGCCTAGGGCATAGGCGAACAGAGTAACTATCCACGGAGTTACCAACAGGTGAGAACACGCAGTCAGAGAGACATGGAAACTCCACCCAGAAATAAACACACGTGGATGTATCCTTGACCCAGTGCCTAGAAGCAATCTGCAAAGGTTGTATTTCCGGAATTCATGTTCCTGTGTAAGTACCTGTTAGGTGTCCACTCATAGTCTTGTCGTGACTGTTGAATAACTGCCGGTACTTCAGTCTGGATGACTGAGGCACAGCCCACTCTGCGGCGGGCGGCACACTGCGGAGAAGCAGAGAAAGCAGCTTAGCCTGGGGCACAGCGAGGACGGCAACCCGAGAACTTCCCAGGCGGCAGCTTCTAACCGAACACTTTACTCTTTGTCCACTCACCACTTCTGAATTTTCTGTAATGAGCATTTCCCATTTTTAACATTAAAAACATTTCTATCAAAACAGATAAGCTCACTATTTTCCCAGAATTCAGAGGTAACAGACTGTTTCAAGTTATATAGACAATGTAAGAAATTCACAGGTTCTACAAAAGTATGGACAGTCTTCTTGGAGCTGAGATGACAAAACATATGCTTAGGTTTCTCCAACCTTCTGGGACATTTCTATCTTGGAGAAAAAGCAGTGCTGAAGGGCAGGCATTTGCCCTAGCGGTTAGGACTCCTGCAATCCATGCTGGAGTGCCTGCTGCGTTCCAGTCCTGGCTCTGCTCCCAATTCCAGCTTCCTGACACTGTGCACCAGGGAGACAACAGGTGCTGGCTCAAAGTAGCTGGGTCCCGGCACACCCATGTGGGAGGCTGGACTGAGGTCTGGCTCCCTACGTCGTTCTCTGGCCTGAGGCCATTGCATGCATTTGGGGAAGGAACCAAGAATGAGCCACAGGATGAGTGTTCTCTTGTCTCTGCCTCTCAAATAAAAAAAGAGTGAAAATTTGGTTTTAAAAAGCAACACTGACATAAAAATAAAAACTGCTCCAAAAAGTTGAACTTTCTATATACCAACATACAGGACCTATTTCCTAGTTAAGTAAAATCAATTCATTTTGGGAAGTTTAAATTCCCACCCAAGGAGGGGTTTCTCAGGGAGAGAACACAACAACACCTCCAGGGCCGCAGTGAGCCAGCAGAGCAGTAACAGATGGGGCAGTGCTTTCTCGAGTCCACCATGGTCCTCTCCTCCCCCAGGGGCCATGGTCCTAACTGAGGAATCCTGCCCAATCCACCAGCGCTCAGTCTAGGTCTACACTTAATCTTAGCCAAAAGGCCAAGAAGCGATTCAGTCTAGGTCTAGACACCCTTGGCTGCTAGCTCCTCAGTGGCCCAGGCTCATTAAAGTCCAATGTCGGAACACAGTGATCTAAAAACAATAGCTGAGTTGACAGTCACAACGGAACTTCACTTCCAGGAAAGATTACAACTAATGCCTCATTTGTAATTTCATTTCAAAGCACAAAAAAACCACAATTTTCATCAGTCATGAAACAGTTTAAGCATCATTTATATATCTTTCCTATGCATTTATACTTACTATACACAGTTCATCAAGCATAGAAAATAGCCCCCAAAGCCCTGAAAAGTAACTACATAAATTCAGTTTTTATGGATTTTCAGTTTTATGGATTTCTCAATAAAAAACACTTACCATGCTCTATTCTGCTGTGAGTATTTCTGTGACAATTCTCTCATCTTAAACTAAGGACTTCCTCGCTGATCCAATGTCTGCCTAGTTGTCAAGAAGCTTACTATCTTGCTCCTGCACCCCAGGAATGCAGGGCGTTATTCACAGAAGTTGTCCCAGATTACACTTATCAAGTCATGGTTTCCTGCCAAATCCTGAGAATTTACAAAGACTGAAGACACATTCAACTGCTGCCCGTAAGTTAGATGAAACATTGCAAACTTTTGCTAGAAATTTAAATTATGGAAAAGATGACAACTAGCATAAAAAAATGGTCTTATAGCATTAGTGTTTGCCAATATTGTTTATTCATTCCAATGACACAAATCAATTTTAAGGCAGATTTCAAAATCCTTTCTGGAAAATCAGAGAAAACAAAAAATTCAACATGAGATAGGAGAAAGAATACCAAAAAAAAAAAAGGAACTCTGTCAGTTGATATGAGTTTAAACCTCAGACCTGCCCGGTACTGAACTGTGAACTATGGGTGAGGGATGTAACTTCTCTGGATTTGCATCCTCCTTCACAATCCTGAGACAGCAGCTGTTGTACTGACAGTTGTGGAGCTGAACAGGAACAATGAAGTTCCAGGCAAAGTAGATATTTAATACGTGTTGGAGCATGTGAAGAATAAAAAGTTAAATGAAACACCTGTGTGCTACAATTAACCGAAGGATTTTAGAGAAATCACGCACAGTTAAGTTAATGCATTATATTCAACAAGTTCGTCTCTGAAGTGGGAGGGGTTGATTCACTTAAGATCCTACTGAGGACTGACAGAAGAAGAGCGGAATCATCTTCATGTACAACCTTTTCACTCTAAAAATCTGAAACTACTTACAGAGAGACTTAATTTTTCATTCTAGTTAACAATATGCAATGAAAAAAAAAAAAAAAAACAGGAGTAAAGAAGAAAATGTAAGCAGTTAGGTGATGTGAGCTTTCCCCAAATCAAGCCACATATTTGATCAACGCGAATTATCCAGCAGTCTGAATGATTCATTTCATAAAAATTGGTCTTTAATAGATTTTACTAATAACTCACACTCTGTAAGATCAGTGTTGACCAAATTAAAAATAAGATCAATGTGGCTCTGATCATTATATAAACAGCTTTATAAATAGGCTTTAAAAGAATTAACATAAGACAATTCATCTGATTTTTTCCCCTACCTGGAATTCTACTTTACTATTTTTAAACATTTTATTACTCCCTATTTGTCATCTTCTTTAAAAACCACACACAAAGCCTTTAAAGAAATGTCATGTCCTTGATTTATGTCATCTGCTACAAATATGATGAAACCTAGTGATATCATTCAGAATCAAAAAAATTATTTTTAGGCGTCCACAAAATTAAAGAAGACAACAAATAAAGAATGAAACTAATTCATTTCCAAATTTATTAGTTGATCAAATAGTAGCTTTAACTAAATTTCTCATCTGAAAATGAGCAAGCTTACCTGGCCACATCAAATGATTGTGCCTTCTGTAACTTCGTGTTTAATTGGGATCCTGGACCAGATCTACTAAATGAAGAACTCTTTGGCAACGTGGCTGCTGTAAAAATAAATATTGAATAATTTTAATACTACAAAGATAAGAAATTTCCTCCTATTGACAAAAACTAAACACAAAGACATCAAATCTGGGGCAGAAATATGTCCTCTCTCACTATCCTGGATTTAAAGTTTTTCTGCTCTTACCCCCTGTCCTCTTCCCAAAAACACTTCCAAATTTGCTTGTCCTACTGAAAATCACATTTCTAGTAGTGAATCTGGGAAATCCACAAATTGTTACTGTTCATTGAGAATTCAGTGTCATGCTTTGCAGGATCTTCTGCAATAGCTAAGGCAGAAACAACTTAAATACATGAGACAGCATTCCCTTAAGTATGCTCAGAGAAGGGAGGATTAGTCCCAGGTTAAGAGCCAAGAAGCCACGGACTGCAGATAACATGTGATGCCAGGGAGGGTCGGCTTTTGTGTTGGATTCTATTCTGGCTGGTTAGTTGTGGGTAAGGAAAAAACCACCGTGACCTTTAGCCGCATTCCTCGCACCCTTACTAACCACATCTGCAATTCCCCACCACATTGAGTGGGACTCAGAGAGCACGGACTGACACCGCGGGAAGAACTGGGAGCGCTTTCTCAGCTACCAACACACTTGCACTTGGCCCATGTCAAGCACGCACCACACGTGACAAGAAAACAGGAAGAAAACAGGATGACTTAGATTCTTTGACTGTAACTTAGAGACAAATCCCAACATACATAACAAATAAAAGCGAGGGGCCGGCGCTGTGCCACAGTGGGTTAAAGCCCTGGCCTGAAGTGCCAGCATCCCATATGGGCATCGGTTCTAGTCCCCGGTGCTCCTCTTCTGATGCAGCTCTCTGCTGTGGCCTGGGAAAGCAGTAAAAGATGGCCCAAGTCTTTGGGCCTCTGCACCCACGTGGGAGACCAGGAAGAAGCTCCTGGCTCCTGGCTTTGGATTGGCACAACTCTGGCCAACGTGCTCATCTCGGGAGTAAACCAGCGGATGGAAGACCTCTCTTTCTCTCTCTCTGTCTCTGCCTCTCTCTGTAACTGTCTTTCAAATACATTTTTAAAAAATCTCTAAAAAAAAAGCAAAACAAAACAAAACAAAAACACAAAGGTGACCACAGGCAGAGAAATGTGTCAAATATAATGCTAAAACTATGCCTGCATCACTTGAATTCATTCAACTGCATTAGAAGTGCTTTTAAAAAAAAAGACAAGAATATGTTTTATAATGACATGAATTCATTAGAGTTATTAGGCTTTTTAAATCCTTTATATGAAGACTATCTACGTTTACAGTTTATGCTTATGCTTTCTTTTTTTAAAGATTTTATTTATTTATTTTACAGGTAGAGTTACAGACAGTGAGAGAAACAGAGAGAAAGGTCCTTCTTCCATTGGTTCACTCCCCAAATGACTGCAACGGCCTGAGGTGTGCCGATCCGAACCCAGGAGCTAGGTGCTTCTTCCTGGTCTCCCACGCGAGTGCAGGGGCTCAAGCACTTGGGCCATCTTCTGCTATCCCAGGCCATAGCAGAGAGCTGGACTGGAAGAGGAGCAGCCAGGACTAGAACCAGCACCCATAGGGGATGCTGGCGCCACTGGTGGAGGATTAACCCAGTGTGCCATGGGCGCCGGCCCCAGTTTATGCTTTCTTTTAACTAAAAAAAAAAAATCTTGACTAAAAGTCTCAAATGAAATTAACCCATCAACTGTTAAACGCGTCCCATCAATTAAGCTGCATGTAATACAATACATTCTGTCTGATTCATTCCATCTCCTCAAAAAAAATCTGCAGTGCTCATTTTCTCCCAGACACATAGCTCTACTCCTATGGACATGGCTTGGTTGTTAGCAACTCATAGCAGCCTGGGAAAGCAGCAGCGGATGGCCAAAGTGCACCTGAAGGAGGCCCTAACTACTCCTGGCTTTGGCCTGGCTCAGCCCTGGCCATTGCAGCCATTTGGGGAATGAACCAGCACATGAAAGATCTATCTCTGTGATTCTGCGTTTCAAATACATATCTTTAAAAAAAAGAAAAAGAAAATGAAAAGAAAGGAAGGAAGGAAATGATACTGTTGGAATTCGCAAGTTCAGCTTTGTCCACGGTGGTACCCAGAGATCTATAATTCCATTTTTTTCTCTCTCTCTACCTTAGCTACTACGTTAGATATACTGAGAGGAAAGTGAGAAACTAAATACAACGAAAATATTTTTCCATTTGAATAAAATATTATTTCAATAGAATCAGAAAGTGAAAAGATTTCTAATGGGACCAAACAGCAAAACATAAGTTGTGAAACTTCAGTCCACGGTTTCAGCAGGTCACATACCAGGATGGGTAAATGCAGGCAGAGGTTGGATCACAGGGGGAGCCCCATTGGCCAGGGGAGGCACTGCTGCTGTAGGAACAGAAGATACCAGAGGTGGAGACATTCCAACAACTGGAATGGATCCCATTGGCACTGGAGCAACAGCTGTAAGTGGTGGCATGCTAGCAATACCTCCTATACCTATAAAGAAAAAAAAAAAAAACTACAAAATTCATACTTGATCACATTTCTACATTCAATCATCATTAGCCAGTATTGCTTCCTGGCAGTTTATAGTCTCATTTAAAACATAGTTCCAAATTAACTTGGAAAAATATAAAAAATTATGTTGGGGGTTAAAGTCCTGGCCGGCAGTACCAGTAACCCATATGAGTGCCAGTTCGAGTCCCACCTGCTACAATTCTGATCTAGCTCCCTGCCAATGTACCTGGGAAAGCAGCAGAAGATGGTTCAAGTCTTGAACCTCTGCACCCATGTAGGAGACCTGGAAGAAGCTCCTGGCTCCTGGCTTCAGATTGGCCCAGCTCTGGCCATTGCGGCTATTTGGGGAGTGACCCAGCAGATGGAAGACCTCTCTTTTTACCTCTTGCCTCTCCATAACTCTGCCTGTCAAATAATTAAATAAATCTTAAAAAAAAAAAAAAAAAAAGAGAGAGAGAGAAAGAGAAAATCCTAACTGGTCATCATGGCAAGATGCCTGATAATAATTTAACTTGCCTAACAAACTACACTTTGATTTAAAAAATTATGAAACCCACGTATATGAAAAGCTCCTCAAAAAATTCTTAGAAGATGTATATTATGAAAAAACTATGAATTTCAGAATTATGGCAACAAAATAAAATTCTAATTCCATTTTTTGAAGTACCTTGTGCTATAATTCTTGGGGTTACCAAATATTTGATGGGGAGGATTTATCTTTTTTCAAAGGTATTCTAACCAATAAATGAAGAAATGATAAATGTTTATTTCTTTTTATTTTTCTGTCCCAACTGTAATGTCTTCCTTTGTGTTGAGTACATATATTTTAGCATATCATTCAAATTCCAGTGAGGTTGTTTATGTTTTTACCTTTATAAAAGTAATTTTCTGAGTAAGTGATTCTAGGAATTAAAATCTGCAAGTGAATCATCATAAGTTCCTTCTAATTTGGGAACAATATAGAAACTTCACACAGACCTTTCAATTCATTTTCTCTTCCTCTGGGCTATTATTATAATACTTGTGGATTACATCAGTCATAAAATAATAGTGTTAAGAATTATTTATGCAATATTATATCTTTAAAGAAGAGATAGAATGAGAAAAACAGATTTACAGGGTCTTTTAAACTAACCTATATATTTATCATTTTGGATGCACTTTGTGTTTTTTTTCAGTGTGTTCAAGTTACGATCTCTTATTTCCTTTCATCTTAAAAACTTCTCTACTATTCCTTTCAATATGTGCCTGTCAATAAAGAATTTTCTCAGTCTTTGAGAACGCCACTATTCCACCAGTTTTAAAGGACAGTTTGGCTGCTGGACTTCTTTCTTTCAATACCTGGAATATTCCACTGCTTTCTGGCCTCCATTGTTTCAGATGACAAGTCTGTAGTTAAGTTTATGTTTAGCCATAAATAAGCTGTTTCCCTCGTGTGTTTTTAAGATTTTATCTTTCCGGGCAGTCATTGTGGCATGGGAAAGCTGCTGCCTGCAATGTGGCATCCTATATGGGTGCTGGTTTGTGTCCGGGCTGCTCCATTTCCAATCCCCAACTCCCTGCTGATGCCCTGGGAAAAGCAGCGAAAGATGGCCCAAGTGCTTGGGCCCCTGATACCCACAGGGGAGATGTAGAAGCAGCTCCTGGCTCCTAGCTACAGCCTGGCCCAGTGTCAGCCACTGCAGTCATCTAGGGAATGAATCTGTGGATGGAGGATCTCTCTCTGTGTGTCTCTCCCTCTCTCTGTAACCTCTGACTGTGACTTTCAAAAAAAATACATGAATCTTTAAAAAGAATA